CTAAACTCAATGGGAAGAACAAGATCTACACCATCAACATGTATGCCCTGCCAGTCATCAGATATCCTGCCAGTATAGTGAACTGGCCAAAGGAGGACATGGAGGTTGCTGATGCGAAGACTGGGAAGCTCCTCACAATGTACAGAGATTTCCATCCCAAGTCCAACACTCAGAGACTGTACACTAACTGGAAAGAGGGCAGGCAGGGTCTGGTGAGTGTCAAAGCCACTTTCCTAGACAAAACCCAGAGCATCCAGGAGTATATCAGTAAGATGGCTCCCAAAGATGAGCTTCTGAGAAAATGCCTGAGGTAGCAGCAGACATGGGAGGAAGTTCAAGCAGAGGAAGTGCCATGGCAAGACAAGATCCTGCATAGAATGTACCATCGACAGGTAGCTGAGGTGTCTGACTCTGGGAAATCCTATCAGTGTCTGGAAAGGGCTGGACTAAAAGACAGCACTGAGGTACTCATCACAGCAGCACAAGAACAGGAACTAAGCACTCGATCCATAGAAGTAGGGGTCTACCACACTAGATAAGACCCAAGGTGCAGACTGTGCAGAAAGGCCTTAGAGACAATCCAACACATAGTGGCAGGATGTAAAATGCAGACAGGAACAACATACACTGAATGGCACAAGCAAGTAGCTGGCATTGCATACAGGAACATCTGCACAGTGTATGGGCTAGACCCTCCCAACTCCAGATGGGAGATTCCACAGAAGGTCATGGAGAATAACAGGGCTAAGATTCTGTGGGACTTCCAGATCCAGACGGACAGGAAGGTACTGACCAATCAACCAGACATTGTGGTAGTAGACAAGGACCAGAAGACAGTGGTGGTGATAGCTGTAGCAGTACCAAGTGACAGGAACTTCAGGAAAGAGTATGGGAAGCTGGAGAAGTACCAGGGCCTGAAGGAGGAACTAGAGAGGATGTGGAAAGTAAAGGTCAGTGGTGATAGGAGCATTTGGGGCTGTGACTCCTAAGCTGGGAGAGTGGCTCCAGCAGATCCCAGAAACATTAGAGCTCTCTGTCCAGAAGAGTGCAGTGCTAGGAACAGCTAAAACAGGCCTCTGTTTTATTTTTATATGCGTGTGTGTGTGTGTGTGTGTGTGTGTGTGTGTGTAAGTAAGTAAGTAAGTAAGTAAGTAAGAAAATAAATAAATAAATAAATAAATAAATAAATAAATAAATCCCTCCCAGCTACAGATCTCTAGTTGGGAGAAAGCCATGAGAAGAAGAAATCCCACTGCATAAGTGGAAGTTTCTCCTTGAGAATTTATTCTGGAACATCTGACTCAGTTATGAGGCACATGGTATACTTGTCAAGCTTTTTCATCTAGCCCTGCTCAAGATGCCTTCACTTAGTGTGATCTAGCGTCCCCAGATGGTTACTTTTTAAAAAGAAAGTTTTAGGAAGCTAAGGAATTTGAGAGTAGAAAACCGGTTTATTTTTTTAACAAAAGTATGAACATCTAGACGACCACCCAACATTTACATCACACAAGATCATATACAGTTAAAGGAATTGGAATGGGGGGAATCAAACATCGCAACATCTGGAACCCACCATCACAGTGCTATGATGGTAAAAATATAAGTGATCTTTCTAACACCAATTCTAAATACTTTGTGTGCCTTATGCTCAGATTATAAATACACATTATATGTTAAGACATTTTTTCCTCTTCCACTTCCACCGCTATGGGAACAGCAGCCAGTGGGCTACATTGTATGTTCAGCACATGTGACTTCTCATATTGCCATCAAAGTATATTACATAGAGACCTCCCTTCTCCAAAGCACTCAGTGTAGCACTACCGTACATGGCTGTTCAGTTCATCTCTCCTTTTATCATTACAGGAATCCTGTAAGGCAAGTTAGACTGACAATGTAATTGATCTAAAGTCACGCTGGGACTGGATATGAAAAGGAAGCAAGAAGCAAACTTTGTTCTCTCAGGAAATCTAGGGCACTCTGAATTAGAAATCCATGGTGATATTAATACAGTGAATTCCCCCTTGTCTTCAATATGTAAATACTAAGCCTTATATCACAGCAACATTCTTGGTCTCCAGCACTTTCATGAATAATGCTGGAATCTCTGAAGCTTCCCACTAGTTAAATAGGAGGGAAGGGGCCCTTCTGTATAGAATCATCTAAAGACTTACAGTACGTAGATCCTTATTTAAGGGATTTGCACAAAAGCATATTGAAATGGCCAGATTTGGTTCCAGGATGTTGGATTTGTTAGTTTTTCCACATCGGCCATTTTACTTCTATTTCAGATGAAGGTACCAGATAGCATATTCTGAACTGCAGAATGGTGCCAGAGAATCAACATGTCATCATCGGGCCACATTTAAAAAAAACACAAATTGTCAGTGGATGTGTTATAATATGCTTCCCTGCTTCAAAGAAAAAGCCTAAATACAGTAGATCTGCCAGGTGCTAACTTCATGCTGGGCTAAAACAACTCAGCCAGCAATCTGAAAAAGCAACCCCTTTATGTGTACCAGATACGGTATGAATTTTGCCACTGTCCCATAAAGGCACTTTGGTACATCTCCTATGTTAGTGGCTTGATTGCCTCAATCCAGTGAGCTCTTTCAGTCTTGGAACTAGCCTGTATGTAGTAGTGAATGTCATTCTTTGTGATGATTTTGAAGAGGTTGCCCTGCACATTTCCTTTCACTCCTGCAAAGGAAAAAGAAGAAGAAGAAACAACCATTTAATAGGACATAAAGAGAGCCAGTTTGGTGTAGCAGTTAAGGCGTCAGGCTAGAAACGGGGAGACCGTGAGTTCTGGTCCCACCTTAGGTACGAAGCCAGCTGGGTGACCTTGGGCCAGTCACTCCCTCAGCTCTAGGAAGGAGGAGGCAATGGCAATCCGTTTCTGAAAAGCCTTGCCAAGAAAACTGTAGGGACTTGTTCAGTTGCCAGGAGTCAAAAACTGACTCAAAGGCAAACAAACAAATAAAAGACAAAAAGCTGCTGCAGTACCAGCAAACTCTAGAGGGAGAATGTCTGAATAGGATACTGTAGAAAACTCACTGAATCTGCTTTTCTGTACTGCATTGACATGAACTTTGCTCGAGTCATGTACAAATGCTTTCAAAAATGAGACAAAGAGCAACTCAGCAGTGCTTCTTTTCTGAATCTGACTATTATATTCCACCTGGGAAGAAGGTTTTTCAAGTTTTTCATTTCTAAAGAGAAACCACAGCCATTTCCACTGCTCTGATTACCCTTTCCTAAGCTGTTCTGATGATGTCTGATATAGAGAGGTGACAGAGAGAGGGGCTGGCCTTTTACCTTTTGGACTTCTTTTGCTACCGCTTTCAGAAGGGTGCATATATGTTCATGTGGGTGTGCATATGTTCATGCATGATAGGGCCAAAGCTGGAGGGAGTTGGATGTGGAGCCCTCATATTTTATGCAGCCCCCACTCCCTTCTTCTCCCATTGTTCAAGAACTGGCCCTAGCAGACAATTTGACGTATCAGATGTGCTCTAGGAGCTCTTCATCACAAGCGTTCCTTAGTGGAAACTAGGCCTTGATGGGCGATAAAAAGAGCCGTTGGCAAAAACCTGATTCTATTTTCTCTCATGTGTTTTGTGACTGCCCTGTATTTTGCAGTACAGAAAACAGTGGGATAAGACTTTGTAACTCATGGCTTGGAGATGAGACAAGGTCAGCATAATGGGAGGGGGTAACACAGGCTTGCCTGGTCATTCTGATGCCCCTGCAAATAACAAAGGACAACTTTATCAATAAACAAACAAACCAAAAAAAACGATCAAAAGGCCCGTAATAGTAAGAATGGATCTTGCAAGGTGATAACTTGCCTGTTGGGACCCCATTGTCTTCCAGTGCTGAGACAAGGCAACCACGGAGAGAAAATCCCCCAACTGGTTTGTTATCTTCCTATGGGAGAAAAAAGTGGTCCGATGTGAGTAAAGTAAATAATCTGTTACATTCCCTCCAACAAATTTGAGACAAGCAAGGAAAGCCTGACTTGTCTGAGCCTGTCTCTATTTAAGGAGATGCTCTACAGTCTTTTCCTAATTGTTGACCTATTTAAAGAGGCAGTGCCAAAGTAGCTATGTTTGCATGACCTGCTAAGCCACAGTAATGTTAGGGAGCATATGGACACTGCCATCTAAGCTCTGCATAGGTGATTTATGACATCCTAAAGTGGTTGCCGTTGTCAACTTGCAGAAACTAGAATTGGAAAGCAATGACAATGCTTTGTTTCAGATTTTAGTTTCCACAAGCTGAGGATGGCAGCTGCTTTAGGTATGCATGACACATTACACCTTAGGTAAATCTTCACACTTGATTAAAGGGTTTCAACAACTTGGGGATTAAATGGCACTTTCACAAACACTTTACACTGCCTGAAGGCTATACTGCCAGTGATTCTATCTGCCAATCCTTTGAAAAGCAGTCTGAAGACAGTCTGGAAACTAGCAGCTTCTCTTCTGCTGACTCACAATACTGAGAACAAGTAGCAAAGAATCACAGCCATGCCCTGAACTATCATTATGGTCCTAGAGAAAGAAAAATTCTTACCACCTGTGCAGAAGGAATGTTAAAAATTCCTTAGGTTCCTCTCCCCATCCTACTCCAAATTTGATGTGTTGTGTAACTATTTTATCATATACAAAAACTTGGAGTAGTTCCTATGTGGGGGGGGGGGGCTGCAGAGCTGTCAGTCTTCTTTTCTCTTTGAAAGACCTGTTAGGGCCAGCTGATGGCTAAGAACCAGAAGTTGGGGCAAGGCAAGACTTCCTGCAAGGGGGTCTGTCCACAAACAACACAGAGCTGCAGTATTTCAAAGGCATGACTACAGGTAGACCTCACTTAACGACCACAACTGGGACCAGCAACTCCATTGCTAAGCAACGTGGTTTCTAAGCAAGATATCACATGACTGCAACGGACTTATGACCTCACTTCTGCCACGGTTGTTAAGCAAATCACCGTGGTCATTATGTGAGGCATCATGTGACTGCAACTTGCAATTTTACTGCTGGCTTCTCCATTGGCTCTGCTTGTTGGAAGCCAGCTGTGAAGCACACAAATGGTGATCACGTGACTGAGGGAATGCTGCGACAGTCGTGAGTACAAGGACTGGTTGTAAAGTTACTTTTTCAGTGCCGTTGTAACTTTGAACAGTCACTAAACAGGGCAGTTGTTAAGTGAGGACTACCTGTAGTTTACTATAGCTTCAAACAACCATAGGTGAGCTAAACTAAATTTGCTCAGATCTCAAACCCAAGCAACAAAATGGAATTACAGACTTCCAGAAATGGTTTCAAACCTATCTGGAACCCTCAGATGGAAGTGTCCTCTGTGTGTCATGTAAACACAGCTTATATATACATACATCTTTTTAACAAAATGGATGAATAAGGATGTAGAACTCTAAGCTGAGGAATACCAAAAGGCACCTTATATCAAGTCTGACTATTTTTCTGCTGAATCAATTTTCACTCTCTAATTAGTGTACAAAAGAGGGCAGGGCTCCTCTATGTATTATATCTGCATATGAGGGAAAAAAACCCTTGGCCAGGTATGTATCAGGGGCGCAACTTCTCACATCCCAAAGCCTAAACGTGTTATTTTTTTCAAAAACAGAAAACAATAGCCATAAGATATATCTATTCCCAAAGCAAATGCATTACATGAGATTACTTTCTGGATTTGGTATCCATCTTATTGGCACATGGACTTCCAACTGATAGGGAAGCGAAGTACAGCGTAGTGCAAACTACACAACGTGCACTATAGGTACTGTGGGTTATTTAGGATCCAGTAGGAAGCGAGTTCAAAGGATCTGCCCTTAGCCTTACAAAAATCCATGCAGAATTCATTCCCCTTGCCCACTAACAACAGAGTCCTAAAGTGGGGTGGGAGGGGAAGATGCTCCCCAGAGGTACACATGCAGGGAGTTTCAAGTATTGGAATGCCATTGTCTCACCTTTGTGGGGTCATAATAGTGTAGGAAAGCGGGATCAGACCTCAGGACAAAGCGCCTCACTTTCCAGTTCTTCCTCTTGTGCCCCTGAAAATTGGAAAATAAATCCAACGTTCTTTCTTCAAAATACAGATCTTCTGTAATTGTCAGTAGTAGAGTGAGAATATTGAATTATCTGTTTACTACCTTTTATCATTGCAGAAGCAGCCGTAGGAGGGAGGACAAGCTGAGAGATAATACAGGTAGTCCTTGCTTAATGACCACTCATTCAGTGACTATTCAAAGTTACAACAACATTGAAAAAAGGGTACTTGCACCTGGTCTCCAAAGTTATGGCCGTTGGAATGCCCCTGCAGTCATGTGATCAAAATTCAGGCACTTGGCAGCCCGCTCACATTTATCACTGCAGAGTGCACTTCAGCATCCCCACCTGCCTATCTCCCCCCATCTCTGACCTTTTGGCCCCCTGCACTCCGTGGCCCCTGCCACCCTGCCGCCCCCAGCTGACCTTTGCATCTTCTTGCTCCCACTGCTGACAAAGTGTGCCTGGCCATGTGAGGCCTTCTTCTTGAGGTCGCATGTGGCAGTTACCTTGCAAGACCTCGGAAAGAAGGCCTCCCACAGCCAGCAGCTGCCTCATGAAGAACCAGGCCAGGCGTGCTTCATCAGCAGTGGGAGCAACAACACGGTGAAAGTCAGTTAGGGTTGGAGGAGCACAGGGCTGCAGAGGGCAGCTGCATCTGGGTCTTCATGCTGCGGTGTTGGGCTTGGGGCGGCTGGGTTTTTGCACCAGACCATGGAAGCCACTTGTGCACCCTCCTGCCCCCAGCAATAGCCACCCCAGCCCATGACCTCCTTGCAACTTCCTGCTGGCTTCCCCAATTAACTTTGCTTGTTGGAAGCTAGCAGGAAGTTGCAAGGTCCTCACCTAACAACCCATGATTCTCACTTAACAATGGCAACAGGGATTGCCAGGATTGCCATTGCTAAGTGATGTGGTCACATGGATGTCGCACTGTACAACTGCATTGCTTAGCAACCAAAATTCTGATCCCAATTATTGTTGTTAACTGAGGACTGCCTCTATTTTGTCCAAGCAAACTGCAGACCTGGCTCACACATAACGTTAAGCTACGTTTGCTCAGCTCTTGTCAGGTTCAGCCCAAAGAACTCCACGAGACAATACAGATACAATTCTGTTGCGTTTATTAGCTTCCACCTCAAAGACAGAAATCTCTCCAGACTGAATCTAAACTTCCCAAGCCAGCAAGCGAAAAATAACGTTAAGCTACGTTTGCTCAGCTCTTGTCAGGTTCAGCCCAAAGAACTCCACGAGACAATACAGATACAATTCTGTTGCGTTTATTAGCTTCCACCTCAAAGACAGAAATCTCTCCAGACTGAATCTAAACTTCCCAAGCCAGCAAGCGAAAACATTGTGAATTCCTTAGGGTGGTACCAGTCTCATCTTCTTAACCTTCCCACGCTCCTGTTGGGGGCTAAGGAAATGCTTATCTCCCCGAGCGCAGCCTTCATCAAACCATTCCATCACAGCTCTGGCTTAATGATTAATACTCCTGGTGGGGTTTACACGACATGCTAAGCTATAAACTATGTTTTAGAATTCACAGTAGAAGGGCTTATAGTAGTATGTTCTGCTGATATTGAAACCAGATTGCAAAGATATTAAACTTATCTGTCCTGGAACAGGCAATATTTTCCACTACAGGTAGTCCTCAACTTACAACCACAATTGGGACCAGAACTTCCATCGCTAATTTATGTGGTTGTTAAGTGAGTCAAATCCGATTTTATTACCTTTTTTTCTGTGAACATTAAACAAATCACACGGTTGTTAAGTGAATTTAGCTTCTCCCATTGACTTTGCTTGTTGGAAGCCCCCTTGGGAAGGTTGCAAATGATGATCACATGAACCCAGGACACTACAACTGTCATAAATACATGCCAGTTGCCAACCACCTGAATTTTGATCACATGACTGTGGGGATGGTGCAATGGTAAGTACAAGGACTAGCCATAAGTCACTTTTTTCAGCACTGTTGTAACTTCAAATTGTTGTTAAATGAATGGTCGTAAGTTGAGGACTACCTGTAATCAAAGGATGAAGCAATATGTTCTTCTTGGGCACATATTTTATGATATTTTACAATAATATTTTGTATCTAATACAGTATTATATGGTTTGGGTTTTGGGTTTCTTTTGTAAACCAGTAACTATACGTTTAATATGTAAGGTAGATGTTCTTGTTTGTTTTTCTTTTTTTCCTTTTCCTTTTCCTGTTTTTTTTAATCATTTTTATTTTTATGGATTGTTACTTTAATTTTATTATTGTTGGGTATTTTGACACTTTGCTTACATTTTGTACTCCTTTAAAATAAAGAATAAATTTTAATTTTAAAAGATATATTAATTAAACCCAGACTGAAGTCTTCACTGGAAATAGTATTATGGCTTGCCAATATTGATATCAACTTCCTTTCCTAATGCAAGTATAGTATATAATGCCGTACTAATTTCTCTCTGATTAGCAATCTTATGTTTGACCACAATGAACACAATGTGAGATTATTTCAGAGCATAGAGTTGGTTTTGCTTTGAACAGAAAGTTCCTCATGCGTCAGAACAAGGTGTGTTTACTGCGTACACTGCATTTATTTAGACATGTTACCATAACCTACTGATTTCACTGCGACAGAAGAGATGCCATAGATGATATGAATGAGAAATATTCAGTATATTGAAGTTTGTGAGGAAACACCATAATCCTCAAATTTGTTTGAATGAGTATAGATCAGGGATGCTTAAAATTTTCAAAGGCCTTTGCATTTCCCAAACTGATGGCCAAAGTCACAATAAAAATAGTTGATTTTATTTAATTACATTTAACAAAAATGAAGCATCATTAAATATGATTACTCTCCAGCTGTGTATTGAATAATTTCCCCCTTCTGTCATATTACAAATTATAATTTGTTAATACATTTTGGTGGTTCATGAGGGCCACTGCCAAGCTTTCAGGAGCCACATGTGATCCTAGGGCCTCTTGCTGTGCGCTCAGGTGTGGACTGTGCTGTGTAGAAAGAACATTTTGCCATGCCAGAAACAAGACAACAATGACTGGGTGGCATTTCCTGTATCAGACTGAGAGGAAAGCTATGTATATGTCTCAGTTCATCAAGTCACATACTATGGATGGAAGACTGATTGTCTATATTCTCCATTCTTAACACATGCTTTTAACAGAAACTTAGCATGAAGAGTTTCAGTTAGTTACCAGCTAATTGGAACTCTTGTTCTTGTACTGGTTAATCTGCTAACTGTATATTAATTAAATTGTGTGGATTTCCTATTAAAATGCCATTTTTCCCCCGAAAAAGAGCTTTAAAAGATACCAGTAAAATATTCTCCCATCTGCATTCCATTCTTAGCTTGAGATTATGATCCAGAAGTCATGGTTACCTGTTTTATCAAAAAGCCTTGCTTCAGAATTGTGCCACTCAGTTCAAGTATGTTAATATTAAGCTGTTCTTTAGTATAAACTTTTTTCTTATAGCTTTCAGCCTGCAGTAAAAACAAAACAAACACAAAAACAGGTATTGTACTGTGATACTAAAGAATCGGTACAAGATTTACACATATTTATTTCATTCTTCAGCATGATTTTTTTCATTCACTTTTACAAACTTCCATCTCCAAACTCCTCCTCCTCCTCCTCCTCCTCCTCCAATCAGCCATCCACCATTTTAATTATTTGCAAAGCATCACTCACAGTGCATTCTGGGAAATTCAAATGGCAGGCCAACCCAGAACTGGCTGTTGCAGGCTGCTTGGCTGCTGTTGCTATCTTCACCTGAAGGTAAGCAGCTAGCTTATTAATGTAAGATGGTGCCCACCAGGAGGGATTTTGCAGTGCTTAGTTGGTGGGGTGTTATTGCTGAAGCAGATCCTGACAAGCAGTCATGGTAACAGAAATGTACAACCCAAGGATGGGTTTCATCCTTGTTAGAAGAGCACTGTTCTCCAGTGTTATATTTACATCCAAAGTCTTACTATGTAGGCTTGTTCACACCTATGCAAAGTCCAACTAGTATCATAATCTTAGATAAAAGCATTGAAAGCTTTAGAAAGAACAAGTTATCTTTCAAGCTTTTATCATTTGCTTGCCTATTTTTTTTTATTGGACTCTAAAAAATAAATATATACAGCACCCTTTTGAACGTCATCAGTAGAAAGGATATTCAACTTGCAGAGTTTGCATCACTTACAAATGTATATAAGGCAGTAGAGTCATCTAAAAATTGCTCAGCCAAATCTCCATTCCTCATGGCTTCAGTGCTGCGGAGTCCCACAGGTTTAATGAAATTTTCATCCATCAGCACAGAGGCCAGTGTGACTGCTTCAAGCCGGGAAGCTGAAAAACTATTGGAAATCAACCAATCTACCAGTATGGAGCCTGAAAGGAAGAAGAGTTAATCAGACAAGCAAGAACCATTCACAGTCATCTGATCTCCAAGACAAGTAGAAGGAGAGACAATGATACTGTCTCCTTCTGATAAATTTAAAAAAATATTTAAAAAGTTATCACTGAGCCCTTTGAAGATTTACTTATGTATTAAAACCTTTCAGGATAAATTTAACTCTTTTCTTCCTGAAAGGCTTGGATGGAAGCAAACTAGGTAACACTGGGGATATATGGTTGCTGCCAACATGCATTTCCCAAGAAATGTCTAGTAAAAAACAGAAGAAGGTATCAGGTGGACACTCTTAAGAGCAACTTCTGGGTCCATCATTCAAAAATATCCTTCAATATCTCCAATCTTAAAATATTTTGCTCTATTCTGTATTAGTAAGTCAAATGTAAGTGTTCTTCCTCTTTAATTGTAATCTTTAGTTCCTTCTAGTTCCCTCTAGTATCCAACCTTCAACATCCCATCCTGTGATGGACTGGAATGGTGGGAGAGGAGTAAAGAATGTGCTCTCATCTCCAGAGGACCGAGGAAGAGATAAGCGGAGGAAATTGGCACCTCCCTAAGAAATCCCATTGGTGTGAACTG